GTAATAAAAATAAAAATGTAATTTATAATTTACTTAATAATCATTATAATTAGATAAACGTTAGTATTCATATATAACCGCTCATTCTGTTGATACTATTATTTTACATACTGTGTTTTTATGAAATTCTAATAAATTCCTTTCTATTATCAAAACCTGAACTAATGTTTCAATACAATTAATTCCTTAGAAGTCGTTTTCTATTTATCTATTTAAATCATGATCTCTTACAACGTAGTAAATTGGAACATCCTATGCATGCATGTCGGCTTTCTTTTGTTAAACACAAAGGATGCCGTTCTATTGTCCTATTTGCTAGTAAATATGTTTACAGAAAAATATTTAACAGTTCTTAATAGTTTTGTTTTTAACACACGTGTAATATCTGTAGATAGTGTGTTTGTCGGCCTTCTTTTTGACGAACACAAAAGGATGCCGCCCTATTGTCTTTTCTGCTAGTAACCATGTTTACATATATGCATTTAACAATTTTTAATGGCTTTATTTTGATACACATGTTATACCTATAGATAGTTATAGCGAACTATCCTTTTTCTGGTGTTGAAAGCTAAATACACAATATTGATTTTATTTAATATTTTGTACTATTTTACATATAACTTATTTTATGTATTTTATTTATCAAATAAGACAATGCTTCTACTACAATTATTTTGTCAATTAAATAACGGAATATATGCTAATTTATTCTATGTTTAGTTATCAAATACAATTTTTGAAGTGAATATTTTTAATATGTACATTTTTATTGTTATTTCCTTTTATCACTCATTTTATGCAAAATATGACGTTAAAACTAAAATGAGTACTAGGCGAACCGTCACAGTCGACCCCCTAATTATCATGGAGTTTATCAGAATGATAATTACATTAGAATTATATACTAATAACTATTCCTTTCTTTTGTTTTGTTTGTTTTAAACAATTATTATATTTATTTTCTTTTATCATAATTTTATAAAATTTATGGTGTTAACTAAAATGAATACCAGGCGAACCGTCACACTATTGAATTGAAAATTTCTAAGGATCAAACAGTTTATGTGGAATCGAGCCCACGGCGTCTCAAAATTGAATTCTATTTAATGATAAGGGTTGTCTAAGTAAACCTGGTACTACCTACTTGACATTACCTACATACAATATGGAGATACGCTGCTCTCAATGTAAAATACATCGAACATTGATTCATCTAGAAGACTGTTTTTGTATAAAAAATCCTACTTTCGGTTCCCTAACATGCCCGTAGTATTAAGTATATATAATGAAACAGAAATAATAATAATCTCAGGACAATTCACACAGCGCCATCTAGACCCAAGTTAAGCTAGCTAAAGCTTGTGTTATGGGTACTAGATAACTGATACAAATACATAGATTTTTTTTTTCGTAAATACATACATATTATACATAGAAAACACCCAGACCGATACAAACAATCATACTCATGAATATGAATGTTTGTGCGGTGCGAAGAATCGAACCCGCGACCATCGGACGTAAAGTGGTGTGCTAAACCACTAGACCACCGAGGTCGTCAAATATATGTCTACTATTACAAAATTATAATACAAAAACGGTGTATAGATGCATATTTGTTAATCCAAATATAATTCGAATAAAATTTGGAAAGTGAGTAGGTCATGACTTAGAGTATTTATTATTAGTATATTTATAGTAGATTATGTTATCTGTGGTAGTACATAGGATATTTATTACCTAAATTCACGTGAATATTCCCGCAGGATATAGCTGATAAAAAGAAGAATGGTTATTATATTAATATAGAATTGTCTATATTTTAACTAGGTGCGTATATAGATTTGTCCATATGACTTAGAACAATAGTATCTTATACATCAATACAGTACATAGTTTATCAATGTATACACAACATTCCTTTCAAATCCCTTAAGACATGTAAGCGTAATTCAATAACAAAGATAGAAACAGCTTTACAAATTGTTACATATATAGTAGTATTAGAATGACTCTAAACATACAGTATAGTATTACACCAGGTATTCGTCAACATACTAGCTTAGAGTATGCAGATTTCGCGTCTACTGAATAACACAATCACAGAACCTTGTAAAGATGACTTATAAGTAATAAATAATCACCTTAATTTGACTACTTTGTATAGTTTCATGGAAAATTAATTTCACATTTGCGGTTAAATTTTGGTTTTGTGTAAGGGACATCATATATTTTTAAGTGTAGTTAAGTTAATGGAGACCTTGGCATTGTAACGGTTAAAAGTACAAAGGTCGTTTATCAAGGAAGGCTGTAGGCTATCATCATCACGCTACGAGTAGTAGAAGCGGAGTTACAATAAAAAATACTGTAATAAAATGGAGGAAATGTGACTGAAACGCCGCCATAAGGCCAAAAAAGTATTTGATAATTAATTTCTTACCAAATCTTTTCAAGAATTCGGAACTTGTTCTGCGTGGATGAAGGTGTGGGGTATATTGTAAAAAAACTACATATCCAATTTCAAAGGCGTTGTCGTGTATTCAAGCAAAACAAGCGAAGCGTGAAGCATTCGAAAAAAAGTCGATTAATTTGTTTCCGTACAAGTATTCTATAATCTCACAACGTATCATCGCCGTGGTTGACTGCTAGTGGCCTTCAAAATATTCACTGATGCAGAATTACAGTTCGAAGAGTTACAGCGAAATTGAAAGATCTTTCATCGTAACGATAGCAGTTCAATATAAATGTATAAAAGTTAAGCTTAAGTATGCTAAAGAAGAAGCAATTGGTACTAAGGAATACCAAGTCGACCTTTTAAAGGACAGTGTCTGCATTGTCTGATGCGAGAGTTAAATTTTGTGTAAGCATATATAATTACACTTTATTTATATACCTAATTAGAATTTCAAATAATCTGATTGTAACTGGTAACCGTCGCTTATAATAACAGCACCACGACTATCACGTTATCACATGACGTCAGTATGGTGTCAATAAAAAGTGACATAATGGCTGTAATAAGTAACGAAATATACCCACGTATATAACTTTTTACAAAATATACCTTTGTCTTTTTCTGCCTACACTTTAAAAGTTTTAGAGTGAAAATAAATAGACGTTAAATAGCGTATCAGAATTCATTGTTTTGATTATACCCATACGGGCTCAATACGACCGTATGGTGGTGATTTGCTACGAAATTTGGGTAAACTGACCTGATCTCATGCTCATATATATAATGCGTAGGCGGGTACACAATTCCATTATCATTAATTGAAAAAAGACAACCGTATATATTTATTATATATAAACAAATACATAGAAGGGAATATTATTTTTTTTTAAGTTAGAAAATAAATAATAAGCACTTGGCTTAACACAAGGAAAATTCGGAAAAAAACACTATTCCTTTACACTCGAATGCCGTGACAATTGTAGTGCTTAACCTTGTTGAATATATTTCAATAAGTACCACCTAGCTGGTGTTCAGAATCTAATGACTGAAGCCTTAAGGCAACTCCTCTCCATGCTACATACACTCCTCTACATGCTTTTGGGTTTTGATGACTAATCAATATATTATGTATAACTATTGACTGATGATGATAAAATTGATGATGGTTGGGCACCGGTAGTACACGATACCATGAGAATAAATGTAGTCAAGCTTGTCCTTGCCGAACTACCCACTATAATTTTTAGACAACTGCACTTAGCTCGGTAACCTGCATGCAATCTCTCTGGAGAGCACCGGCATCATAGTTTATGAATTCGTTAGAGAAAATGACAATAAAAAGATGAGCTAAGCTATAAGCTGACCAATTTTGACCATACTGACTTCATCTCTATATCTAGTTGTTGTATATCATTAGCTGGCAGTACCAATCCATTATCGAAATGTGTTTTTTTTTTATAATTTTGTACAATAAGTAGAGACAAGAATATTCATACGTTTCTTTTCTATTTCTTTCTAGAAGATTTTTTGAGATAATACAGTCTATGATACAATATATCTTTACGTCAAGTTTTCTAAAGATCTATCTGTTCAGCTGTTTAATCGCAAAGAGGCAATAAACAGATACATTTCCCCATTTATAATATTAGTATAAATACCTATTACCTCACACAGAGCATATAATTTATTGGCTCCGTCAATTACAATCACGCTAAGCGTTCTTGATGGCCATGAAAATAAGATTATTTACGCTACTTGAACAAAATTTATATTTCATAATCAATAACTTATAGAATTATGAACTGAATTTTCATAATAAGAACTCGTGATGTTCGGAATAACACTAGTTTATAATTTATTAATTTATAAAATACATTAAAAACTGATAATTCTAAAAATTTAAGTAAAGATTTCCGTACCGCATTTGTGAAAACCGCGCCCAAATGGTAGTCATTTCTGAGATAAGCGCGTACAGATATACAGAAAAATATTTTAATAATTATTTCGATTTCATATATCTTCCATGTACAAGCAACAACCTTTTTATTCAGTGTTTGTTTCATTATTTAATGGGCGTTACATGATTTTCTATTCTGGTGAATACTGTCAGCTTTCATACTTGACTAAAGCAGAATAATCCCTATAATTAATTTAAAATTATAACGGATGAAACACTCCTAGTGATATAAAAAATATATGTTCACGACTAGCATCCCATATGAAGTAGACAAAGAGAGTAAATTGTAAACGACGTATTCGAAGCTACACCGCACATATCCATATTTAGTTGGAAATATTTGGTGATTCTATTGTCTCGTACTACATATACTACTATTTATTTATTTAGAATTTTAATATATCTACAAATGGAATATTTACACTTGCAGTAGTCCCAACTACCTACACGATAAGGTTAAAATATAAATAAAAATATTAAATACATTATTTGTTACAGGTGATAATTTGTATAATAGTAAAAGATAGTAGTTATCGATGTAAAACAAGGTCATTCTTAACTTAACAGTATTATAACAAGGGTGATTACCCAGCCATGTTGCGTAGACCTAGAACAGCCTCTATTCCTGATACAATGGAGGTCACTACACGGTTTTGTCACCACTGCCATATAAAAATAATTTTAATATAAATATAAACCCACTGAAATAAACGATCGCGCGCATGCGCTCGGTACGTAACACTGAACACTGTCAAGGAAGGCGAGTTAGAGAGTGAAGTGATGTATTATTATCGATAATCGACCGTATAATATTGTATAATTGTATGGCTTCGCCCGGATGCTCGTTACTTTGAGAGTTTTGCATATATAACCTACGTCACTCTGGAATACTGTAACCACCAATCAAACAACGAAAGAATTTCTCAAGTCACTACAGTGGTTCCTAAGTTTACAGTCCTTATAATAAAGTCCTCTCTCTTCTTTTAGAACATTAGTATAAATTTAGTGAATTTTTGATTGTATATTGTACTCGTATTATCGTATTATGTACATGCATAGTAGATTATTTTATACGAAATATTGTTTATTAGTTTTAATAAAAGAATTATAATAACTTTATAGGGTTATATACAAAAGTATTGAATAAAATTTATATTAATACATTATACTATTAAGATCTTGAATTTTTTAACTTAGATATTCATAAAATTACCCATTATAGATATATTGAAATAAAATTAACGATAAAAACTACGGTAACGATATAAAAATATTAAACGCCTATGTACAACAATAATGTAATTATATTTATGTTATTATTTTATTTTCCTCGTAATTTGTAAAAAACACGGAAGTCCAGTGTATCGTGCGTTCCCATCACTATGATGCGCCCGCGCACGCTACGCTACGCCGCTTCCACTCTGTTATGATAATGAACGGCCAGGTAAAAATAAAAACACTTGATAATTACCATCGCTATGGTCACTGGACATCATCGGAAGGGTCTCGGAATTAGTACAACAGATTTGAGAGAAAGATTCATTCCGGTGTTCTTGGACTTAGCGCTACAACTTTCTACTGTACGAGAAAAAGGATCGAATTCTTTAGTTTATTAGTTTTGTGCATAACATTTTATTTTCATTATACTAAATTTAAGTTATTTTAATTTGACATTTATTAACCTATTTACCATATTACAAATACTATTTATTAATTTATTTTTACTTGTGTATTTTCAGAAGAATTCCAGTCACATATTCCAGTTAATATACATTATTACCTTCGCGACAAAATACTTAACAATAATAACTGTAATTCATTATTTAATAATATTCTTTGCATTTATTAGATTTTGTTTTTATACCTCGGTACTGCAAGATGAAAATAAAATTTTAATTCAGGAGTTAATTTTCGAAAAATGCAATTTAAAAATAAATATGTTTATATTTTATTATAGTAATATACATATATTTAATCAAAAATAATGTTTGCTCAATTTGTATAAATTTTAGACAATTCTATTGATTCAATACTTCATATAAGTCGTCATCGCCTAAGATTTATTCATATTGACAAAATCACTCGAATGCGAACACATGATAAGCAAATATTCATGATTCCATTCAACTTTATTCTACCGAAAAAATGTGTAATATATTGCATTTGTAGCAATTGAAAGAAAAAAATATTTTTTCAACTAACAACGTGTTCATCCAAACATTACATCACTGTTTAGAAATATTATCATAGAATACTGCTGTTGATTTATTAGTTCTATGTTATAAATTTAAACAATGATTTAATATCTATTGTCAACATTGTACAACATACTGTACAGTGTAAAGAATAGAAGGATAGTGAAGAACAAGAGGATTAGTAATAAGTATAGTAATAAATCCAATAATAATTTACTTTGAACTAGATTACAAGAGTACACTCGAAATATTAGACCTATTTATGGTATTTGATTCAAAATGAAAACAAAATTCTGAATAAAATATTATATATTCAAATTACAGATTATTAAATACAGTTGATTCATAAATGTTTGCACAAATAATTAAAAATATAAATACGAGTACATAATACTAATAGGTCAATTACCATCTAATGTATGTGATTCATTCAATATTATTTCGATTTTATTCTAACATAATTACTTAAAAATCTGGCGTCAAAATTTTAGTATACCATACAATTACCGTATCTATTGATGAGTTGCAATATAACCAGTATCTTAATAAGACTAATACTATTAGTTTTAGGTTCCTAGTTTATTCAACAACATCTAAATCTCCAATTAATCTATTGTGTAATAATTGTATGTATTTTTATTTAATTAAATTTTATGAATCTACTTCAACTTATTTTTTACACATATTCATAATTTAAAGTATGCAAGTCGATGCGACTTGTTATTTCCTCTATCTGTAGTTTATATAAAAATAAATATGTTAGCATTGATATACATATTTACCTGAGATGTTCACAGCTCTATTGCCCTGAATGGTTAGTGTCAATTAACGCGGTGATGCAATATTGCGGTTATTGGATTTGTGACCATATAGTAACGACATAGAGTTACACCTACCATTATATTAAATGACATTATATAATAAGATGTTATGTATAAAGAATCTGGATATGGTTGATTTATTTAACTTGATATTTTGTTTACAAGTTAGACAAAAAATTCTTAGAATGAAAAATTTTAATTATTTAAGTAAATATATACTATATATAGTAAAAGATTAAAATACTAAATTGTACTTACTTAGAAAATTTTGTACATATATATTAAATACCTACATGTAATAATAATATCATAGAAAAATTGGTTGTGAATAAACATTGTATGAGAAAAATAAGATATGACTGGATACACGAATGAGCTATAATAATAATATCATAGAAAAATTGGTTGTGAATAAACATTGTATGAGAAAAATAAGATATGACTGGATACACGAATGAGCTATTGGTTTCTTTAATTTGAGATTTATATGATTTAATTGAATGTTAGGTTTTATAATAAAATTTTCAATATTTTTAGTACTGGAAATGCTAAAAAGTCTGCGTTTGCAGAAGTAATTCTAGATCAATGAGAGGTAAAAATATTTGTGGGTGGGGATTAATAATAAATTGTAACAATAAAATTAATATGAATGACCAATATATCTATTAGGGCGAATTAAAGTGCCATATATCAGGTGATATAAAGGTACGGTATTAGAACATGTAGAACAAATTAGCAATGAAAGATTAATGATTGAGATAGACGAAGCGAAAGTGCGTGAGATAAGATTGAAATGTGTACTTATCTTTATCCAATCAATGTCACATAATAATCAAATAGATCCCATATGTGTAATATAATATTCCTATGTAATAACTAAATTTTGTATCTAAAGTCACTTAACATTTAACATATATTTAGAATAGAATATAATAATATTTATTACATCACACAACAATGATGATGCTCACAGCAGCATATACTATTATAACATATAAATAGAAATAACACAATGCATTAAAATCATTACATAAAAAAAGAGTAAGAAAATCAAACATAAACTAACATACAGATACAAAAATAATAAAAACAAAGCAAAATGCATAGCTTATCCACCACTGCAAAGTACCTTCATCGCGTCACTGTGAACTGATAATGTGTGTGTAAGGGATCTATCTCAGTATTATGCCATGACTAAAGCCACGAAAATAATTTTGAAATGTATACAAATTTATGTAATAACAATATTTTGAATATTGTTTATTCAGCAATCGGACGATGAATTATGAAATAAATAATTAATTTATACCTACCGACGTTTCAGTATTAATAAATTTGCTTTTACAATCTAAAATTATTTATATCGAGTTTCACAGATTCAATTACGTACTAGAATCAACTTGAACCAAATTACGAAGTAATTCTATACTGTATAAACGTGGAAGTTTGTAAAGGTGTTTGAATATTTGTTACAAAGGCTGACCATATTCTTCATGTTATTACATAACAAACTTAAATATCTTGTCTCTGGTAAATAATTTGAAGAATTTTTACTTTGTTACAAAAGCGTAGATAGAAGATTTGATATGTGATTCACTAATACAATATACACGATGTTATAGCGTTTATCACCTGAACAAATATTCCGTGAGTACGTAATGAGGTTGGCGCATAACATAGTCTTAAACTCTACCACTAATATTGAAAGATCGCACTTTGTTTCTGACAGTAAAATTCGATTAAACTAGAAAAAGGTAACCCATCTCGTAATTGTCTTTTTAAAAATTCAAAGGGTCATTGTTATTACATTATGTACATTAAGGAGGAGGTAAAATTGAAAAAAATAAATATGATATCTTTATTTGATAAATTTGACCTTTTCTATACATCTATATGGCGTAGAATTTTATTATGGGAAAGTACAGTTCATATGTTTATGATTATGTATGAAGAGAAAAAGATGTAAGAAGATTTTGTATGAATGTTCTTCGCACAAAATATTCTGAGAAATGGTGATCCCATGTACAAGAGTACAGGTATCATAATCTCCAGAAGCAGTAGACACTTTCTTAAGTTTATCCATCTGCTTTTAATAAGTGTATTTTTTTTTCATTTTGCGGCTTCTTTAATATATTTGATTTTAGATAAAGTTACCCTGTCACCATAGTCATATCTCTGCAAAAAAGTTTACAAATTAAGCTGTTTGGCAGTTGAAAAATGCGTGGTGGAAGTGACCATGTAGGCAAGTTTATACAAAGTGTATCATTTACAATAAATTCATATGAAAAGCTAAATATGTATATCACAGTTGTAGATGTGACTGTATTTATATAGTTTACATTAAGAAAGCTTAGACATATTTTATTACTTTCTACAAAGTCTTCATCTCTACATACTTCCTACAGGCTACAAACTCCGTTTCGAATTAAAGTTCTTCTTATTAGGCTCAAAGCAATTTAGATCAATTTGTAATATCTTATTATTATATTAAAGTACAAGATTTGATTATTATCTTACACCAAACCCAATTTAATCTATCTTTGGATAATTACTTTACTTGTTTCCCAGAAACCATTATGGTAATTCACATTTTCGTAACTTTTTAAAATTCCTAATAAGTCAGATCATTATTAAATAACATAATAGCAGGAAAATTCTTGGTATTATGTTAATAAATAATGAAGAAGAAATAATTATCGAAATTAGGTTA